TATATTTAAAAAAAACAATGATCTTTGTCTTTTTAAACTGAGCTTTTTCTGCCATATTTGTTTCTAGACCACAATAATAATATTTTTCCTTTGTCAGTGAAAAAGAACATTTCATCTTTAGGAAAAGATTTCTTTGTAAGCATGTAGTGTGCTGTATCAGTAAGGACACTTTCAGCTGTAAGTTTAAAAATCTTGAAATTGCTTAGACAGTAAGGCAATGGGTCATCTCACATACCTGGAAGTACAAAAAGCAGGGCCAACTCCAGGCATAATCTGATTAGAGCTTTGGCTCAGTAGTTCTGCCTACCTTTCAGTATCAGTTGTTTGTTTCCTTAGACCAGCCTTTCTCCTGATTGGGCTGTCCACAAGTCGGAGACAGGGAAAACTTCTGCCTTCAGCCCTGCCCCCATGGAATGAAAGACGTTGTTCTTAGGCAGATTGGACCATCTCAGGTCACATTTTCACCCCTGGACCAATAACAATTGCTAGAAGAATATAATGTACCGATTGGCTTACCTCTGTGTTCTTGAACCAATCACAAAAAGAGGGATGGAATTATAATGACGGTAAATCAGTACCCAAACTTGGGCCTAGGAATGGAGACAGCTCCATCTGAGTCACAGGGCTGCTTTCAGAAAGTTGTAGACTGATCAAAATTGAGGAAGGTCTGGTTGCTCTTAGGCAACCAGCGGTAAACAGGAGGTTGTAAGCCAAGAAGTGTTGCTCTCTGACCTAAAACATATCACTCGTTCTAAGCATACTGGGGTTCATTATGTGTCTTATTTTCCTTGAGCTTCGTACTGAATTTCAAGTAAAGAGCAAAACACATTTTACACATTGTGATGAGTAAGAATTCAGTGGAGGCTCTTAGAGGCTTGGAACCACCAGTGGATCTTCAAAAATTATTTGAAATCTTCTTTCTTACAAAAAAGGAAACTGAGGCCCCTCAAAATGAAGTTACTTGCCAAAGGTCACCTGTCTAGTTAGTGGCAGAGTCCCAAACCACAGCTATCTCATACCTCGGTGTGGCTTTTCCTACCCCATCCCATTCCAGGTTAACCTTTAAGTAATATCTTGAATGCAACTTTCTTAGAACAACAACTGTACTATACTACATACTGTGTTTTAATACAATACATGCTTATGTTTGTGGACTGTAGTATTTCCATGAATTGCCAAATACTTCTAGATGATTGATGCTTTTTAACACCCTACCAGCCCTAGTAGGTAGGCAGAGGTGCAGGCAGTTTCTGTTTTGCAGTAGAATAGAACACACTGTCTAGCTCATATAGCCAGGCCCAGGACATTTTTCTAATTTTCTTTTTCTAGGTTAATAATTTCCCTGCATCAGTGTTCGTGCAATTGATACTTCTCTCAGTGGCTGAGGAATTTCCTAGCCACACACGGCAGGGCCTGGGGGTGGGTAGGAGGGAAGACTGTTTGAAAATCCTACTTTTCCATCTGTTCCAGAACTGGAACGAAATGACAGAGCTGGTCTCTTCCAACGGCAATTACTGCAATTACCGCAAGGCCTTTGCCGACTGCGAGGGCTTCAAGATTCCCATCCTTGGCGTCCACTTGAAAGACTTGATAGCAGTCCATGTCATTTTCCCAGACTGGATGGAGGACAACAAAGTTAACATTGTAAAAATGCACCAGCTCTCCGTTACCCTCAGCGAACTGGTGTCTCTGCAGAATGCCTCCCACCACTTAGAACCCAACATGGATTTGATCAACCTGCTCACGGTGAGTTGAGGGGACAGGAGTTTGTGCTGAGAGCTCTTCTCACTTCCCAGGGGATGCGGGAAAGTCCTTGAAGGTCATTCACGAGGTTGCATGCAGGGCTGGTAGATGGGGCAGGATCTGAAAGGGTGGGTGAGGGGATGGGAGCCCAGCCCCATATCCGGCATGAGCTGAGACTATAATCACGGGACAGAGAAATTTTCCTTTGTCCTGAGGAGCCTAGGTACCACCCCTATAGCTCTGCTCCTAGAGCTCTTGGAGAGGCCCTCCGCCCTCAGCCCCTCACTCTCCTTCGTCACACCAGTCTAGCTCATCACCACCTTCTACGTGGCCTCACCTCATCCATTTCCCTTTGCCCTCCCGCACAGCATAGCTGAAGCCTGGGATAATACCTGGTCCTCCTCCATGATCTCCCTGTCCCCACTGCCACCCTCCCCTTGCCAGCCTGGCCTTTGAGGCCCTTCTAGACTTGTTGTCTATGTATCCTGGGTTGTCATCACCTGATGCCACATCACACTTGCCTTTGAGGAACACTGGGCTTTCCACCATGAACTGCTGCCTTCTGCTTCCTGGCCTTTGCACTTTCTTGGAAAATCCCTTCCCTATCCACCCCTGTGACTAGCTCAAATTCAAAACCTTCTGTCTTTCTGGAGCATTCTCTGTTCCTCTCCAGAGCAGTAAGTGTCTGCTTCATGTGTGGCTCTTGACCTTTATACTTTCTTAACCATAGGGAGGTATCATTTTGTATTAGATTTTTTTTTTCCTGTTTACCTGCCATATATATCCCATATCCCCACTGCCTTTCATGATACCTGGCATATGTAGGAGCTCAACAGATGAACTGAATGCTGTGTTTAGGAATGTTGTGGGTCAGACAGATGAAATTCAACTAGCATTCATATTTTTTGTCATTCGTGGCTGATCTCTAGGTCCCGGCGCTTTTAGACACAACAGGTGTATGGGAGAGAACCTACCCCATTGATGGCTGCCTTGTCAGGGGGAAGAGGCATAACCAAATTCTTTCACCCTTGTTTAACAAATGGAGAAGCAACTTCCCTGTTTGGGTTTATAATACGGAAGCTTCAGACACTTGACTGCAATACTGAATTGACTCTTCCATTCGTGGCCATGGAAAATGAAAACAATTTCCTTCTGAAGCTCTGAGGGCCTAAATCCTCTGGGACCACTGCACTGGCATAGGAGGTTCCTAGACCTTCTCACACACTGTTCCTAGAACACATGATTGTTTACCAAGGCATAGAACCCCTGAAGTGCATGGAGTAATACCAGCTGTACCTTAGCATAAAGCAGAAGTGGCCGACACACAGAAACACAAATCTCTTGGGACTGAGTTTGTATGACAAACAGTAAACACACAGACATTCTCTACTGGGGGGGAAAAACCCTCTCAATAATCCAGGCACCTGCGTTTATGAAGCATTTGCCATGTAAATCTGTTTCCACGAATAAGTGACCAGAGTTGCAGCCCCAATCAGACAGCAAAGCCACAGGCACAGGTGATGTCTGCAGACCAGCTGAAGTTCCACCTGTCTGTGTCCAGGCTACCTTCACTACGTGGAGGAGAGTGTCATAGAGCAGGTGCCTACGCTTGGGCATTTTCTCATCCTGACAAAAGATGATGATGGAGTAGGGGAATTAATTTTGAGTTATGAATGAAGCAACATAATGACAGATATTTAGAGAAGTATCAAAAGATTTTGAATGAAATTTTTGGGTGCAAATGGAAAATTTGAACCCTAGAAATAAAGGCTAAGATATGTATATTTTTTTCTGCCTGGGAAGGAAAGAAAAAAGAAAAAGGATGACAACGCAATCAATCCCCGCCCCACCCCCTCTCGGGTATTAAAAGAAAATATGGAAGCCGCCAAGCACTGTATTTAGGACAACAATGTTATCTAGTGTAGTACAGTGGCAAGAATCCTGGGCAGGAGATGAAGCTTTTAGCTCTGTGTGTGCAGTTACTTAGTTTGTCTCCTTGTTAGCTAGACCTGCCCTTGGTCTTTTCATAAGGGATTTTGTGCTCATTTGTGAGATCTCTTCCAGCTCTAAACTTCTGTGATTCTAGATATAAAGACTGGTGGCCCCTTGAGAATAAGGAGCCTGGTGTCAATCTGATACTGTGGTTCCAGCCCAGTGGCTCCTCAGATAGCACAGTCCCACATATGGACATCGATCAAGGCAGTTGCTATTTAAAGCCAAGACCCCTCCTCCTTCCCTACAACCAACAAGAAGGTTCATTGCCCAGGAATATACATTCATTCTTCCTGGCCACAAGCAGATTAATCTCTTCAATGCAGACAAAGGAGATTCCCATCAGGTGTTCACTAGAGCCCAGTGGCCATCTCATGAAGCAGATATGTGTTAGGATTAGAACCATTTGACTGACAGAAGCTGTGAGGGCATCCATAAGTGCAGCATGTCTCCATTCATTTTTCCCCAAGATTCTAGGTCAGGTTTTTACCTGAAGTGATTATTTGCCTCTAAACATGGCTCCAGGTGAGAAAGCCAATGCATGATTGAGAGCCCTGAAAGATGGAAAATGAGAGCTCTTAAATAAATCAACAATTACGGAATGTCTGCTCCATGTGGTAGGCTGCATAGCAACCTTGGGACTTTCTGTAATAACTGATTGCATTTTTCATAGCATTTTCACATATATTTCATATACACAGACACCCTGTGAGGGACCCTGGGAAGGGCAGAGAGTGTAACATCACCCCTGTCCCTTTGTATTTTACAAAGGAAGAAACAGACTTCTAAAGGACAAAAGGCTTGCAAAGGGAGAACTTCTGAATCCCAGCTTGGGGTGGGGGTATCTCTCTCTCTCTCTCTCTCTCTCTCTCTCTCTCTGTCTCTCAGTGATGGGCATTTACTCTGTTTGATTTATTTTACATCTATTTTATTTATTTTATATATATTTTATTTTGCATCTGTAAAAATTAAGTAATCTCTCCTTCCCTCTTCATGGGTGGCTAAAGAAGGAATTAATTACAGAACAAAATCTATGAGTCAGAGACTCTGTGTGCCGTTTTTATCATTGTAAATTTAGCCCCTGAACAGCCCTGGGCACATGAAGAAAGGGAGACCCCAGCACTAAACACGTGGATTTTGGATTGTTCCTCTTTTCAGGGACAATCTAGAGAAGGCATTTTCCACTGTGATCCTAATCCTGGAACCAGAAGATTTAAAAGCTGATGCTTCTTACTTTATGGTATACGAAATCATCTGATTCTTTTCATAGTATTTTTAGATCTATCAGTTACTTTTACCATTCTGAGTATATGCAAATAACTGGAAAGCCCCCTGTATTTTTACAGTTTCAAAAAGAAGAAGAAGAAGAAGAAGATGAAGAATTGCAAAAATGGTCAATAAGAGATGACCAAGTGTGTTTTATTTTACAGTTCTCTAGTCAGGGCGACATAGGTCTTAATGTGCAGACTAAATCCACAACCATCTTTGCTGATAGGCTTGGGTGTAAATGCAGCAACATGAAACAGTGATTCAGACCATTCTCCAAGCTCAAAATATGTTAAACACAAGCAAGCATTCTTGAGATTCCATTGACAAGTTGCCTCTAATTATTTAAAAAAAATTGTGGAGGAAGTAAAACATGTTGCTCTGCACAGGGCTGTAAAATCCAGAGGAGATGAGAGAATGCATGTAGGTAGGATCATGGCTGGGAAAGCAGAAGATGGCAGGAGTAATACATTCACTGATGAGCACCGTGGCATTTGACTGGAAGCCAACCATGCAATGCCCATCTCTATGGCCCGCTACACAAACCCCACTGAATGCATGTTAGCTCATTTAATCTTCACAGAAGTCCTGGGAAGGAGCTATTATTTATGCCTCCCATTTTAAAGACCAAAAGACTGAGTCCCACAAAGGCTAATAACTTGCTCAGGATCAAATCACCACTAATAAATTAAGGGTAAACATTTGGAGAAGACATTTCCATCATAGGATCTGGTATCTGTCCATCTGATGTATGAAACTACCACGGATGTTCTGTGTCTTTTGAGAGAATATCTCCCCTACTCAGTGTGTGGTTTATTTGGATTTCTGGTCAGATGTTCTGGCACTGTTGTCATCCTTTTTCCAGCAGGCACCACTGCCATTCATTATTAAAGGCCGAATCAGTAGGACAGGGGCATGCTCATCGAAGTCCAGATCAACTCCTGATAACAAGGAATCCAGAAGGAAACAGTGACTTGATTTTCTCCCTATGGAACGTTCACAATGCAAGGCAGCAAACTGTGGCTGGGATTATAGAGGCAGAAAAGATGGCAATGGATGCACTGCCTGCTTCTGTGAGGCTTAGAAGCCGGTAGAGTTTTCCATCGTGGAATTTATAAAATAGCAGGCAACTGCCATTGGCAAGATGTGTTTTATTTGGCCTACACAGAATCATAAAAATTTTATGTTGGTTGCCAGGATTTAAAAATTGAGATATTTCATGTAAAACTCCAGATTTCTGGCTTCTCTTGACAAATGAGAAGATATGTCAATTGTCAAGCTGACAAAAATTGGCTGTACCTGAGCAGTGGCTTTCTCCCATTCATCAGGGACCCCACGTCTCCCTGTCACCTCCCTAACCCAGAGATCCAGTGTCACATTCTACTTATCACACATTTTTATTATTGTTGAGCTCAGAGGAAAGGTCCCAAGGTGATTATATCTGCGAAGACGGTTTTGGCAAGTAAGACATTGTTATACCGGTGTTTCTACCAAAAGATCTTTTTCATGCATTTCACTTCATTCTTTTATATAATGAGCTGCCTTGTAAAGGCATTTGTTTGTAAAGGCACTAGGGGATGGTTCCTCTCCTCCCTGGAGGAAGGAATGACTGTTTAATGGAAGATGGATATAGTGTCTGTTCTTTGTGGGTAGGATTTTCAAGATCTGAAATGATGATGGGGCGGTTTTATAGTCAAGTCAATTTCATTATGTTTAGAAAAAATCTTTAGGTGACAAAGTCTAGATAAAGCAGTATATGACCTGATGTGTGCAATCCTTAATTTAAATGTTGTAGGGGCATCTGGGTAGCTCAGTTGGTGAAGTGTCCAACTCTTGAGTTCAGCTCAGGTCATGATCTCATGGTTCATGAAATGGAGCTCCGCATCAGGCTTGGTGCTGGGCTTGGAGTCTGCTTAAGATCCTTTCTCTCCCTCACCTGCCTCTCTCTCTCTCTCTCAAAAAAAAAAAAAAAAAAAAATGAAAGCAAGATAAATCCTTGAAAGACATCTTTTGCCTCTGAGTTTTCTCCCACTTCATCCTTCTTGTGCTTCTCCCTCACTCTACACCCATACACATTAAGTTTTTATTTTTAGGCCAAATATGTTAAATAGAATTTTTCATCCCCAATGGTCGAAGAAAGGACAGGGCACCTGTTTATGTTCACTGCTGATGAAATGGCATGATTCATCTGGTATCTTAACATTAAAGGGTGTGGGTGAGACTCATCCAGGCTGATTTTAAGTCTCATGCCTTCTATTTTAGATGAATGGGACCATGCATTTTAGTTTTTACTGATTTCATTCATGCACTCCAATCTTGGTCTAAGTTGTTGTCCCTGCCTGTCCTGATCTTTCTCTCCTTCTTTCTCTGTCCGAATAGTCCCAGTTAGGTCCTACTTCACAAAGTCCTCTGTGACTCTGTCCTGATCATTTCTGCTTTCAGTGACCTCCCTTCCCATCCCCCCCACACACAAAATAATAATATTAGTAGTAACAGCTGTCATAATAATAGTAACATCAACAACACCAAATAACATTTCTTGGCATTTTACTGTGTACCAGGTTGTGTGTGTAGTACTTCACATGAAGTATTCCATTTGATCTTGATCAAAATTCAATTCAGTAGGGATTTTTATGAGAATTTCCATTTTACAGATGTGGCAAATGAGTGTCAGAGAAGATATAACTGGCTCAAGGTACCAGGCTAACCAGTGGTAGGCTTAGGACTTGAACTCAGGCCCAATTGACTCCAGAACCTTCCTTCATGCTTTATATGCTGCCTCTCTGAGCAATTCCTGTAGCATTGAGAGTGGGGGCATCTTACTTCATAGCTCAAATATGTTGCCTTTTGTTGATATAAACACATCTGATATAGCACATAGGATGCTGATGACCATGCTAAAGTGTTTGGTTTAAAAATTTCATGTTCTGCCTCTGCATGCTATCTTTTTAATGTTCTGCATTCTCTCAAATTATTAGACCTGAGCTTCAACATTTGGTTTGAAAATATTTCAGCAATGTAAATAAATAAGTAAATGTGATCCAACATCATCATTTATCCTTTCTAATTTGTTGTAGCTCTCTCTGGACCTCTATCACACAGAAGATGATATTTACAAATTGTCACTGGTGCTGGAGCCTAGAAATTCTAAATCGGTAGGTGGATTTTTTCTAAGGATCAGTGCCAAACACCATTGATTGTCATTTACAGTAATTGGCTATTACAGTGATGCTTTGTGATCTGAAGACTGAAGAATTTAAAAAATCTGTATTCCATTTTGCCAGTGGAACAGCTTAGCTCTGACAGTTTGAGTATGATTTCTTCATCAGAGGCTAACAAAGAAGACCATTATTTCCAATTACTCTGTTTTCTTGTTATCATCTATGTGTTGTGTCTCCTCTGAGAGACTGCCTACCTATAGGTCCTCCCCCTCAACAAAAGAGAATGCATCTTAATGTGAAATAGCGTTTTAGATTCTTCAACATAAAATCCCATTCAGCATAAAATGAAGTTTAATCAATTTTAAATACCCTGATCATAATTCACAAATTTCTCTGCTAATGATCGACTCAACTCAGAATTTCAGTATCACATTGGATAGTGTCTCAATTAATGGCTGACTCTTAGCAAAGAAACATTTTATGATAAGATTGAGGAAATTGCATTACTGAATGTACACTAATTATTAGTTTTAGTGAGCAGACTGTATCTTAGATCTGTTTTACACTCATAAAAGAATACCTGGGTAAATTTGAAATTTGCAGCGAGGATGAGGTTTGCATGTTCAAGGAAAACATGTCTGTACTTGCCTCTTGGACTTGTATCCTCAGATCAGGTTTCTGATAAAGGTCTCATGACTTACCTCCTTACCAGTTGAACTCTTGGGATGTTGCCAGTGACTTGGACTTTCAATCTGTCCCTGGATTCTGACTCTGCAGCATCAGCCCCAAAGAGGCAGGGCTGTTCTCTGGTACAGGGAGGGTGTGCACTTGAGTCTGAGTTGACCTGGTAACGTCTGTTCTTAAAATTGTGAGTGTGCTGGCTCCATCAGCATTTTCAGCTCCCCTACCATAGGCCCATCTCCTGGGGACACTGAAGAACAGACCCATGTGGGAAGATACAGCAGAGGTAAATGGAGGCATGAAGGCTAGCCTCTGCAAAGTTAGCATGAGTAAGCGCTAGAGAGAAAGGTAAAGTTACTGGAAAAAAGCAACTTGTGAGCTCCTCATTCCTTTGCTTTGTTGTGAAGAGGCTGAGCATGGTGTGGCAAGCTATGTGTGTGCCCATGGCATTTCCACCTGCCCACACCTTCCCTTACCTGGAACAGGGCACTTTAATTGCTACCAGTTGGTTGTTGGGCACCTGGTGGGGCATCATATCCATGTTATCTCATTAACTCTGTTAAGGAAACTGAGTCTGATGAGCATTGGTGTCTCACACGGAGCACTAATAGCCAGTAGGTGGGAGAACTGGGATGTGGCTTCAGGCCTGTCTGTCTTCAACACCTGTGCTTTTTTCTTTTAAATGTGTATCTATTTATTTTGAAAGAGAGAGAGAGAGAGAGAGAGAGAGAGCGCATGTGCACAAGTGGGGGAGGAGCAGAGAGAGAGAGAGAGTGAGACAGAGAATCCCAAGCAGGGTCCACACTGTCAGTGCAGAGCCCAACGTGGAGTTCAATCTCATGAACTGTAAGGTCATGACCTGAGCCAAAATCAAGAGTTGGACGCCTAACTGACTGAGACACCCAAGTGCCCCAATGCCTAGGCTTTTCTACTGCGTGAGGTTGCCTGTCCTTTTCCTGCCACCTCTTATATGGGAACATGGTAAGAACAAGGTACACTTGCCTGAGTTGTGCCTTTTACATTTGTTTTCAGGATAGATTTTGGCCAATTTCAGAAGATGTTTCCATCAAACACAGAAAAATCTTTTTATCTTTTGTAAAGCAGAATCTTTCAAAGTCCCTTCCAAGTGCTAAAATCCTATGAATCTATGAAAACACATTTCCCAATCCCTTACTGCCTCTTATCTTAAGTGGCTTGTCACCCTGTTTTGCGCTTAGGTTTGACACATGCTGCTACTGGAGAACAAGCTCCTGTCAGGATGATGGTACCAAGAGCCTGTAACTTCAGTGTGCTTACCATTGGTGCTGGTGGACCTCACCAAAGTCCCACCATGAACCTTTTTCTCTTCACAGGGCACACTCGTGTCTCACTGGTTCTTTGTGTTTTATTTGGTGTCTCAGTTTTTTCACTCTACCTCTAGGTCGAAAGAAATACCTAACAATTCCACGTATAGAATAGTTAGGTCCAAACAGCTTAACATATATTAATGTTTAAATGACTTAGAACCCACTTTAAAAAACAATACACATATGTTGAAATCAAAATAATATTTTAGGGGCACCTGGGTGGCTCAGTCAGTTAAGTGGCTGACTTTGGCTCAGGTCATAATCTCATAGTTTGTGAGTTGGAGCCCCGCATTGGGCTCTGTGCTGACAGCTCAGAGCCTGGTGCCCGCTTCAGATTCTGTGTGTATGTGTCTCTCTCTGCCCCTCCCCTTCTTGCACTCTGTCTCTTCCTCACTGTCTCAAGAATAAATAAACATTAAAAAAATAAAAAAAATATTTTAATTCTTTAAAAACCACAATTACTTACTAATGGATGTGTGTGCCTGTTGGGCATGAAACAATATCTTAAATTTTGTCATCAGATTGAATATGGCTACCTTTTTTCTTGTTCCACATTGATTTTTTTTTTGCTTTGGAAATATTTGATACCATTGAAAGAAATACAGCATGATCTAATGGGTGAACTGTAAACTATTTCAAGCTGGTAGTTTACATGGTGTCTAACAAATACTGAGTACTGCTGTATTTCCCTTGGGAGTTTGAAATATCTTTTGGTATCCCTGAGAGTCCACTGCAGTGTTCTGGATGGACACCTCGTTATACAGTTTGGGAACTGTGGCTTTATCCTTCATCAGATGAACAAAATGAAAAGCTTGATAGAAAGAGTCATGATGTGTGAGTGAGCCTATGTGTTGGTGATCATATCCAGATGGCAAGTACTTTTTGGTCCTGTTGGTAGCCCAAAGGATACCAGCAACACCCACCTCAAAACATTGCAAAGGGTTTAAATCTAGTACAGTCACTCTTGCAAACATGTTTGTCCCCAATTTAGTATCAAATAAACACCTGTTAAAACAGATTTGCATGTATGCACCAGCAAAAATATTTACATTTAATGAAGGTCCTGGGGAGAGGAATAAAGTACATTGCACTCTTGGCTTGTCTCCCGATAGGATTGTGTTTTGCCTCTGTGTTGTGTAAACACGTTATGCATTATTGCTACCATCTTGGCCACATTATTTAGTGAAAATGTCTTGCAGGAAAGTGGGAAAACATATGGAGGAAGCAAATTCACAAAAGAGGCTAGAAAGATCTAATTAGCCAAATAGTGAGAAGCAATTAAGCATATTGAAAGAGATGCCAGCATGAGAACATAAACTTGGCCATTCACATGGGCCCATTTACTGCAAACATCTACTAGTTTATTATCAACACCAGGTATTAAAGAACTAGATAACAGGTGTTTTATATATTTTGCATTATACAAAAAGCTGTATGGATTATTATATAGGTTTTAAGGATGTTTTAGTAATATTTGGGGAACTTGGATAGAATTTTTGAGTGGGATGAGAGAACAGTATCTTTTTCCCACTTAAAAAAATGGAATCTAGACTACTGCTAAACAAAATACACTCTCCAAATATGTATTTAGTTATAGATTAGATTCTATTGACAAAAGATGTTTGTTTTCAGAACATTTAAGTGATACATATGTAAGTTTTTACTGTATTATTAACATAAAAATGTGTATGTCTTTCTCAGTGTCCCCTGATTACTTAAGGTCTAAGATAAAGTTGAAAAGTGTGTTTTTCCCCCCTGTCAGCAGCCTACCTCCCCGACAACACCCACCAAGCCTGTGGTGCCCCTGGAGTGGGCATCAGGAGTGATGCCAAAGCCAGACCCCACAGTCATCAACAAGCACATAAGGAAATTAGTTGAGGTAAGTGATTGAGAGAGAGTAGAGAGTTAGCACTAGAAGGCCCTTTTCTCTTTCCAGAATATTCTACAGTTGCCCAAGAATCAACTGAAGTCAATGAAAACAGCCCTCTGGCAGGTAGGATCAATTTAGCAGACACTGAGCTCTACCTGGCATTGGCTTATGGGGGAGATTCCCCCAGAATTGCCCTTTTTCCCCTTCCTGTCATTCTGTTCTCATTTACCCAAATACCCTCAGCTACTTCCAACTTTCTTTCACCAGCATTTGATGCCTCCATCATTGCCCCTGCAATTTGAGGGACTGTTTGGGGATTAGAATCTAGTCATTAAAAACCTATATGGGTCCCAATAAAATGCCCAATAAATTGATGACCTGAAGGTAAGAAAAGATCCTGTAGGATGCATAGTTTCTCTTGCTGTTTATATTGAGGTCTGTGACACACCTGCACAGAGCCATTTAGGTCGGAAACATTACTTAATTATGGGAAAGTGTCTATCAGAGTTTTCATGTAGAAAGAAGAGTAGAAGCACCATTGTGGGGAAAATGGAAACAGATTTGGCAATAAAAACTATGACATCTGATTAAACATCTGCTTCAATGGATTGGTATGATACAATAGAATCATATCTTTGGGATAAAATAAACTTTTTGCTGGGGGGTGGATGTTTAAAGAAAAAGAGAGGGGTGCTTGGGTGGCTTAGTCGATTAAACATCCAACTCTTGATCTCAGCTCGGATCTTGATCTCAGGGTCATGAGATTAGGGCCTGCATTGAGCTTCATGCTGGGTGTGAAGCCTACTTTAAACACACACACACACACACACACACACACACACACACACACCCCTAAAGAAAAAGAAAGAATTTTCTACATCTTGGATCATCAAGGAAACCCTGATGCATTGGAAGAAAACTACTACGCAGCATGTGAGGCAGCAAGGAAAGTTCAGAAAGGGTGAGGAAAGGGTCTGAGAAGGCCGTAAGATTCAGTGGAGGCCTTGTGTTGATGTTGTGTAACAGACCCAGCTTGGAGCCAGGGAAGGTGGGGAAGGAATCCAGCTCCAAGAGTTGCAGCTCAGGAAGGTCTAGAACCGGGCAATGAAAAGACACAACTATTTTCTTTTCCACTCTCTTCTCTGCTTTTCTCTGAATGCTCATTCCATTATCTGCAGACAGACTTTCTTTGCTACACAAGGGGAGTCTGTATCTCCCTCCCCCCTTCCTCTCTCTCTCTCTTCCCTTTTACCTTCTCTCTTATTTTCTCTCCAGTTCCAATTTTATGGTGGAAGGTTTGTCCAATTTGGATAAATTGCCTACTGTTGGTTCAATCAAATGAAAGACTGGATTTTATTATGTATTTCCACATTAAATTTTATTCTACAAAAAGAGTTGTACCCTTAATATGGATATAAATATGGATATTAGATTATAAAAGTAGGTACAAGTAGTCAATTTTAAGCAACTTTGATTGTAGGTAAGTATTGGTATTGGGACTTGCAAAAAGACTGTATATTTTGTGATTTTGCACAATTCAGTTTTCTATAAATAAACTTACAATGGGTTCTAAGCAGTCATGTTTTTAAGTAATCTGTTCATTTATACTTTGTTCATCTTCCAAAGTACCCCTGAAGCAGCTTGCAACATAGGGCAATATGGATCAAATAGAATAGAGAGAAAGCATTGGGAAAAGGGAGAAAGATTCATTATAATCTGTTTGCATACATCTGCTCCTGGGGAGAACTTAACAAACCTTTTGGAAAACCCAATTTAGCAGAGGGCAATGGAAAAATCCTTTTATTTTTCAATTATAAAGAAAGTCAGAATCATTGTAAATATGCAAGCTTTTCATAAAATACGGAGAATACAAGTTTTACTTTTAGGCCTTGGGAATTCTGCTCTCGAAGGGGAACCACTGATAATTTGTAAACTATCTTGTATGACTTTATTCCCCCATAAACACATACACCCACGTATGTCTTTGAGCAGCATTGTTCAATTATTTTCCTAGAACAGATTCCCATCAGTGGAATTGCTGGGTCAGAGAGTAAGCACTGACTGTCTTCCAGAAAGATTGTGGCTATTTACTTCATCAACTAATATGAGAGTGCCTATTTTCTCATTCCCTAGGAAATTACCCATTATTTTAATGTTTTCCAATCTGAGAGGTTTAAAAAAGTTTTGTTTGTGTTTCTGTAATTACTAGCAGAATTGAGCATTTCCCATGAATGTATTGGCCACGTGTAATTTTACTTTGGTGGTCTCCTTTTCTCCTGAGCTCTCCTGAGCTGCAACAGGTCTCCTCCTGTTTTCCTTTTGTGTCTTTGCTCTCAGGTATATTGCAAATAATCTTCTCTGACATTTATCTTTACATTTGTCAGCTGAGTTTTTTGATTCAATTATTTTGCATTTTACGTAATAAAATATTTTTGTAGGGGCGCCTGTGTGACTCAGTTGGTTAAGCATCTGACTCAATTTTGGCTCAGGTCATGATCCCAGGATTATTTGATCAAGTCTGCATTGGGCTCTGTGCTGAGTATGGAGCTTGCTTGAGATTCTCTCTCTCTCTCTCTCTCTCTCTCTCTCTCCCTTTGCCCCCCTCCCCTGCTCAGGCTCTCTCTCTCTCTCTCTCTCTGTCTGTAAAATAAAAATTTTTTAAATTGATACAGCTTCTGACTTTGATGTAATGTTAAGGAAGGCCTTTCCCACTCAGAGATTACAAAACATAAAAATTATTTTTATCTATTTATCTTTCATACTTTTACAGCTTTCTTATTATTAAAATTGTTTTAATGTTTATTTTTGAGAGGGAGACAGAGCATGAGTGTGGGAGGGGCAGAGAGAGAGGGAGACATAGAATCTGAAGCAGGCTCCAGGCTCTGAGCTGTCAGCACAGAGCCCAAAGCAGGGCTCAAACTCATGAACTATGAGACCATGACCTGGGTTGAAGTCGGATGCTTAACCACCCAGGCATCCCTATAGCTTTATTTTTGACATTAAAATATTTAATGCATCTAGAATTTAGTTTTGGGCAATTGATTTTGTAAGATGATTAGCCACTTAACTCAACAGCACTTACTGGATAATCTTTAATTTCTCTGTGGATTTGAGAAGGTACTTTTTGATACTCTAAATGCCTATATATACATAGATCTATTTCTGGACTCTGCTCTCTGTAGTAAATTGTAGTACCATGTTGTTTTGATTCATGTAGCTTTGTAGAATATTTGATTTCTGATGGGGCACGTTCTCTCTCATTTCTTCTTATCTTAAACAATATTAGGCTATTCTCAACATGTTTACTTTAATTTGAACTTTAGAATCAATTTGTTCACTTAAAACAAATTGCCACTGGAATTCTGATTGTAATTGCGTTAAAAGTATATTTGAATTTTTTAGGAGCACCTGGGTGGCTCAGTCAGTTAAGTATCTGGCTCTTGATTTTGGCTCAAGTCATGATCTCATGATGGTGAGATAGAACCCCTTTTCCTGGAGCCCCACTGCTTAATGGCCAATGTTCTATACTCAAGTCCTCTCCCCTCCTGCTCATTCTCTCTCTCTCTCTCTCTCTCTCTCTCTTTCTCTCCCTCCCTCCCTCCCCCTTTCTCTCTCAAAAAAAAAAAAAAAGTATACTTGAATTTTTTTTAGATAATTTAACATTTTAAAGCTTCATTGTCTATTGTTATGGTTTTGGCATTTGTGAGTTCACCAAACTTAACTCTTACCAAAACTGAGGTCTCAGTTTAGACCTCACTTTCTCCAGGAAATGTTTTTTTTTAAATATTTATTTATTTTTGGGAGAGTGCAGGTAAGGGAGGGGCAGAGAGAGGGGGACAGAGGATCCAAAGTAGACTCTTCACTGAAAGGCTGACAGCAGTGAACCCAATGTGGGGCTCAAACTCAGGAACCGTGAGATTTTGACCCAAGCCAAAGTTGGACACTTAAGCGACTGAGCCACCCAGGTGCCCCTCCAGGAAACCTTTTAAAATCTCCCTTAAAATTCCCCCACAGCAGCCTATTTTTATCCTCAGCATTGCACTTATCTTGTTATACCATAAAGGCTTCTTGATTTCATTATTTCCCACTGGATTCCAAGCTCCTTGATAGAACAATATACTAGTTATCACTGCTTTCCCAATAACAAGTTCAGAGCCTGACTCATACCCAGTTATTCAGTAAATATTTGTATTTCCTTTGCAGTCTGTGTTTAGAAACTATGACCATGACCATGATGGGTACATCTCCCAAGAGGACTTTGAAAGTATAGCTGCCAATTTTCCCTTTTTGGATTCCTTCTGTGTCCTGGACAAAGATCAGTAAGTTTTAATTTTGTTATGTTTTAATGCAGCTATCCTGAAACAGAAAATTAGTGTCAGAGGAGAACAGGGATACCTTTATTTTTTATTTTTTTTTTAAGTTTATTTATTTATTTTGAAAGAGAGAGAGAGAGAGCATGAGCAGGGGACGGGGAGAGAGAGAGAGAGAGAGAGAATCCCAAGCAGGCTCTGCACTGTCAGCACAGAGCCTGATGTGGGGCTTGAACTCACAAACCATGAGATCGTGACCTGAACTGACATGAACAGCCAGAAGCTAACTGATTGAGCCACACAGGTACCCCAGAGATACCTTTAATTTGCATCTTGACAGCTTCAATCCTAGTGTGTTGATGAAACAAGTGTAATGTTTCACTGATTTTTTTTCTTGGTGTTCACAAACCTGACTGGCTGGATGAGATTATAGGGCAGGCTACATCATCAGTGTTGAGTGTAAGTGCCCATTTGCAAATGAGCCCAACTCTCCATATTACTTCTACTTAGCTATTTCATCAACCCCAAAACCTCCATCAAGAAAAAATGGAGGAGAAATATAGTTACATCTAGGCTGGTAGAGTCCTCAGCATCAATGGACCTGAGGGCAATACTAAAACTAAAGAAGGAAAATTATTTTAAATTACTTACAGCTTTCAGAAGAGCAGGTGATGTCTGCAGATAGCCAAGAAGGGTCCTTGCTTTGTTTTTCTCTCCACTAGCTCAAAAGTTATTTTGGTCAATGAAGTAAAAATGTATTTCTATTGAGCTTCAAATGATTCCTGGAAAAGTAGATGACTTTGGAAGCTAATATCCAGCTCACTGGAAACTAATGATATGAAATGTATATTGCAGAGAAACACTGACATTAGTAATTTGATTGCTTCATTTAAAAAAAAATTTTTAATGTTTATTTTTTTTTGACAGGGAGAGAGAGAGAGCAAGCAGGGGATGAGCAGAGAGAGAGGGAGACACAGAATCTGAAGCAGGCACCAGGCTCTGAGTTGTCAGCACAGAGCCAGATGCGGGGCTCGAACTCATGAGCTGTGAGATCATGACCTGAGCTGAAGTCAGCTGCCCAACTGACTGAGCCACCCAGGCTCCCCAATTGCTTCATTTTTAATTATGTGAGATTAGTTCTTAGTTTAAAAATCATCTATAATGAGATGCTAGATTTTATACTGGTGGAATGTCCAAATTATATCACTTTAAAATTCTATAATAATTTTGTTGGTGTGTGAAGTTTTTTTTTTTTTTTTAATTAAATCTGTAGGTAATTCAGTACACTAAGGCTTTCCTTGGTACTGTATCATAAACATCTTAAAACTTTAATTCATCTTCATTGTATATCTAGAACAAGGAATCCTTTAAAATAAGTTAAATTATTAGAAATAAACTTCTTTTACAAAATGAAATTTAAGTTACCTGCTAACTGCCCACCTCCCTTAGTATGTTTCTGTCAGTGATGTGTAACCTAAATTCAGTAGGGCATGAATTTAAAATCACTTCCTACTCTTCATTTCTTTTTGTTTTTTCAGCTGATTCTTTAGATGGACCTTACACTGTGCCAGCAAAGATATAAATACAATACAAAGATATAAAATATCTTTGTATGTAAATATAAAGATATAAAAAAAATTTTCCCTAAAAATGCAGGTTTGAAATATTCATACTGTATATGATTTCTTCTTTAGATATGTTGATTTTGCGAGGCCAGTAGACCATCCAGGAAGAAAGAGATTCTAGCAAGCTCTAGATGTGGTACCAAGATTCAGGAGAACAGTTTTGGAGACATAGATTGCTAGGTCTTCAGCCCAGCCTTGTGAGCTGGAGTCCTGGGTGTGGGAGCAAATTCAAAGTTTAAAGAAAGATGAGCTTGGGCCCTAAGGAATGTAGCTTCAGGGGCTCTTCTCCCTACATGCAGCTGAAAGAAAGAAGTAGATCCCTCAGGAGAAGCATGGGAGGAAGGAGAGAAACTGGCTACGTAGAATCACAGGGTCACATGGAAGAGAGAGTGTCAAAAAAGGAAAAACCCTGTCCCCAAGTCATGTGCAGCCAGGAGGTCAGCAACATCAAGGAGTGAGAAAAGGCCACTGAGGATGTCCTTGTGACAGTTTCAACAGAGAGGTAGGGTCAGAAGCCTGGTTATATGGAGTGAGGAGTAATCAAAGGAAATGAGAAAAAAAAAAAAGAAAAACCTGTAATGAACATTCTTTTTGAAAAGCTTGGGAGGAAGAAAGGGAAAGGGAAAGATAGGTGCTGGAGTTGGAAGCGATGTTGAGGAAAGTCGTTTTCCAAGAGAGGAAGTCACGAGTGTGTTTGTACACAGAGGAAGGAGTGGGTGAAGAGACTGAGCAGAACCCAGAAGGAGCTGTGTCTTGGGAGGCTGGAGAGTGGGGGATGGGAGCATGACTTCCTCAGACCAGGAGGACCCAAGAGAGGACAGATGAGATACAAAGGAATTCTGAATTGACACAGAAGGGTGTGGTCTCCAGCGTGTGCTGGTGTGGTGAGAAGGCAGCATGAAGATCACCTCTTATCAGGTGGATTTGATCTTGGTAAACAAGAAGTCTGATTATGTGTGGGTGGGTGCCACTGACTGTGAAGATATGGAAGAATCCCTCTGGTAAATGGTCTGTAAGCCAATAAGACCTGAATGAAAGATTACCACCACTGGCAGTGGCCTGGATGACAGCAGGCTGAATGAATTTGAGACTGGTGGGCCCAGTCATTACAGTTTTCTGCCTTTCTCCAGCAGCCTGATTCTTGCACACCCTGTTGTTAGGTTAGGGCTAGAAAAGAGATGTCCTTCTGAAGCTACTATTTGGTAACGAAGGAGACTTTCTGTGCTACGACGCACAGGACACACACACACACACACACACACACATCTTCTTATTCTGAAAGCCTCTGGCACAGAATGCTGTCTTTCGAGGTCCTCTCCTTTCAAATAGAACAGAAAAGTAAACACTGCCCACCTGCTTTTGGCCACAAAGGTTTGGGAGGTTGGGTGATTAAAGTGTGTCAGCCACTTAGCAACGTGGTCTTCAAAGATCGCTCCCTTTTTTGATTCTCTTTACAGGGATGGCCTAATTAGTAAAGATGAAATGATGGCTTACTTCCTGCGAGCTAAGTCCCAATTACACTGTAAAATGGGACCAGGATTTGTCCATAATTTTCAGGAGATGACCTATCTCAAGCCAACCTTCTGTGAACACTGTGCAGGATTTGTAAGTCTGTTTTCCATTATTTCTCTTGTGTGTAGTTATTTGTACAGCATCCTGAGAGTGTCGGAAAATAATACACCAACAGAATCCATTGTGTGCTTTAGATCAGAAGTAAAGTATGATGGCTCCCTGAAATTAAAAAATTAAGTTTAAAACAAAAGCAATATCTGCAGGTTTCACTATGTTCTTTCTAGGATTGTAGGGCTGGCATCAGGGGAGGATGGAGAGGCTTGTTAACTCAAGAGAGCAGTTTGTCTGTTAATCCCTGCCAGGGAAAGGTTCTGCCCAATGAGCCTTGGCATTCGTCACTAATACTCGTAGCAGGTGCAATTAAGGGGAGTATTTATCTTCACCAGTTCCTCCCAGTTCTTGTTTCATGTGGTAGCAGTCACCAGACATCCATCATGGCATGGCTCAATAATTCATAACTCAAAAAGTAAAAAAAAAAAAATCTTTTTGGAAGGAAGATGGTTGTAATAATAAGTAACGTTTATTTGGCACTTGACAGTAATGAAATACTTCCATAGACGTTAGTATAATTGATCCTCGTAACTAGTTCATGACAAGGACATTTTATTCTCCCCATTTGCCTATCAAGACAGAGAGGTCCAGAGAGGATAAGTCCACTTTCCCAGGATCACACAGCCAGTAATTACCAGAGCCAGGATTCAAACACCGGTGTTTTGACTCTGAATCCTGGGCTCTGCCTATGCCACTGCACAAAGGAAGCTGGTTCACTTCTTTTCCCCACATTTGATAATTCCTTGTCATCTAAAGGCAGCTTTGGCCTTAGTATTGAACAAAGACTCATGGGCTCTGAAAGTCTAGTTGATACCCAAGTTGTAGAAGATGAAAATGTGATCCTCTAGGACAAGATGGCCCTGCAGCCAGCATGCCTATTACTCTTTTGTCCAGATGCCAGAGCTCAGTTTTGTTAGCTTCATTCAGCCATCATGTTCCACTGGTTCCATAGTCTCTCCAAATCTTACGGCAACCTAAGGTCCAAAATCAAAGTACTGTGGGAAATATTGCTCTACGCCCATCTACATGAGGTCACTGTCTCCTGTCCTTGTCTGGCACCTGACCCAGAGCCTCTTCCTGCCTTGTGTTGTCTGCTAGTTATTAAGGAAGCATTAGCAAGTGATGCTCTGATTTGCCCTCCTGATAGGACTCATGGTTCACTTTATTTTTTCCAGCAGTTCCTGCAGCTATGCTAATAATGTGCCATATCTGGATATTAGAATGCTTCTTCTTAAATCTTATCCTTTCTTGTCCTAGATCAGTGGCTTTTGCTCACACACAAAACTCCCAGGAGCAGTGGCTTCCTGTCTTTCCCTCATGTGACACAATCTTCTTTCTCTACTTATTAGTGACAAGACCTTGCCAAGTGACTTCACCTCTTGCTAGCCCAGTCTATATATGTATAATGTTACATGAGTTAATACATATAAAAAGCTTAAAACTGTGTCTTTTGCACAGCAAAAGTTCCATAAATGGTAGCTGTCAGGATTATTATTATTATCATCATCAAGGTCTTGGGGAGGAAAAATTTCTTATCACTGCAAATTCTCCATGTCTGGGACCTTGCAAATTATTTAAAATTTCTGGATCATCTCAGTCACCTTTTATGGAAGAGACACAAACTAGATTATCTTTAAGATCCCTGTAGCTCTGACATGATGTCATAGTCCTGACACCACTTCCGTTTTCTGTATGGACTGCTCTGTAGGGATTCCTCTTCCAATCATCCCAGGCACCTGAGGCCTTGCTTCCAGTTAGTTGTCTTAAGAATCCTTCCTATCCCAGGGCACATTTGAATCTTAATAATATATTCTGAAGGACCCAATAACTTTTAAGACTCAAAGGAATCGCTCTCCACTGGTGGAATTTCCTTCTCAGAAAGGGGGTGAGAATCAGTCTTCCTGATGCCCTGAGTCACTGCACATTGGCAGCTATCTATTCTTCTCATAGGTGACATGATGTCCACACTCAGGGCATTGTTCCCCTATAATACCTGTAAGTGATGCTCTCATCAGCACCAGTAAGCCACTGGCCCTGTTTCTTTCAAAATCATTTTATTAAATAGGTATCAGTCACCTAACCTAACCACTACAAGGTTAAAAGTGAGTTTTTCCAGCTTGAGCGAAACCTGCTGAATTGAACAAAACAATACCGATGCTCCTGTGTCCCTTGGCTGCACGTCCGATGCCGTGGGAGGCACGGGAAAGAATGTGGTGTATCAGGGGGGTGGACACACCACCACCAGGATGATCCCCTGAACGACCTGGGTGACCACCCCCTCCTTACACTGGAGGCCCTCACATCCCTCTGAGACACTTGTCACTTCCTACATCCTCCTTCCTACTTGATTGGCAGAATCTGAACATTATTCTGCATCTCCCACAGCCTTGGCACAGACCAAACACTGAGCAGGCCGAGAATGAATACACAAACAAATAGATCTTTTCCTTTTCTGTATTCTTTTAAGGTACCAATGCTACTTGGAAAAGAACGTTGCACAGTGCAAATGCTTTAGTGGGATACGCACTGCGTAGGTTGCTTAATTTCCCAGGGGGCGTGCCAAGAGGAGCTACTGCGATGAAAAAGAAGGCAGGGGGAGCTGGGGGCTTCCAGACACAGTGACAGCCTCCCCGTGGAATTTTGCTGAGAGCGCTTTATACCAAAGTCCAATAATTGTACCAACATCAGTTTCCCATCCCAGCTCCCATTTGGCTTTCAGAAAGAAAAGGGAAGCAAAACTGTTATCGCCCCAGCCCCCAGCTGGAGTGAGCTAGGAGCTGGTTCTTCTATCTGACAGGAAGGGTGTCAGGATCTGCTACATCCTGTTTGTGCGCCACCGAACATCATGCCTCCCAGGACTTCCTTCTTCTGGTCTTCTTTCCCACCCCCCCACCCCGATTTTAATTCAGATTCTCTGACATTCTTTTGTCTTTTGTTACAGCTCTGGGGCATAATCAAGCAAGGATACAAATGCAAAGGTAAATAAATGTAATGTTGCTAACATTTTTTAATGTGATAATTGGGGCAGGAATCAAATTTGACTGATGAAACCACAGAAACTCTTGGTGTCATGGAGAACTTGGGTCTTTGGCCACTGGCAGTTGAAGAGTTAATGTTTTTGGCGGGGTAGGGGGGGATCCATGGAGTTTTGGAGATCCCAGACTGGAATTTTATAGTTTGTTGCAAGAGCAAGCAAACCACCCCTATCAACCCACACACCTGTGGCCCCATCTCCAAGATGTCTTGTGAATCACACAGTCTTGTGAAGCACACAGTTAAGGTGGGACTTCTGAAGTGGGCTGAGTGTAACTAAAATACCGTATAAAGGAACTGCATCCTTCATGGGAATAGAGCCCACACTCATTCCCGTAATACAGATGCCTTTCTTTCTACTCTCACATCTAAGCTGTTCCTTTGTCACTAAATCACAGATGCTGATGAGAAAAGAGAAGCCTTAAAAAATTATTTTTGTCCCTTTTCAATATTTGTTCATAAAGTGCCCCATTCAATAGGAATTTATAAACAAATAAATATATACTTGATGAATGCAATACACATGCATATTAATAGGCATTTAGGAATATGTTGCTCTTTGTACATATGATCCTTACACATTCTTGGTGTTTAATTTCAGAAATTGCTGGATAATTTATGCAGACTATTTGTACTGATGGTTTTAAGAATCTGATAATGCTCTTGAAAGATATAACTACAAAAGGAAACATCTTAGTCACAGAATGGCTTTAGATTAACACTATTCCCTTAGAATGCCTTTTTTCCCCTGTAGCTATCTTTCAGGATTTGGCCCTTATTTTGCGTGAACAGAGAGCTTCCCTGAACCTCAATGGGAGCCAGTCTCAAAAACCTTCCCTTTAGTTCTTGGTATCAGTTGTCTTAGTGTAACTTGGATTTCTACTTACAAGCAGTAAGCTATTGCAATATCTTACTGCCCAGCCATAGTTTTATTCTGGTTTCTGACCCTATCCCCTAAAGACACACACACACACACACACACACACACACACACACAATTTTATGAAGATGAAAATCAATTAAACCCTTGGATCATCTTTGTGCACATGGTATTTTCTCTTCTTTTTTTAAAAAATTTTTCTTATGTTTTTTACTTTTGAGAGAGAGACACACAGAGTGCCAGTGGGGAAGGGGCAGAGAGGGAGGGAGACACAGAATCCAAAGCAGCCTCCAGGCTCTGAGCTGTCGGCACAGAGCCTGATGCGGGGCTCCAACTCCCAGAGAGTGAGATCATGACCTGAGCCGAAGTTGGACACTTACCCAACTGAGCCACCCAGGCACCCCTGGTATTTTCTCTTAAAGGCACATAGAGTGAAAAGATTAATTGAAATAGACTGAACCTGTCATTATAATTTGGTCTTTCCATGATGTCATTAAAGGATCATTTGAAATAAGACCATTTGGGGGAGAAGTGAATATTGGAAAGAATTAGAAAGGTCCTCTTTGATAGTGAGAGAGAAATATACTCTTTATTTATTAAAAAAAATTTTAATGTTTATTTATTTTTGAGACAGAGAGAGACAGAGCATGAACCGGGGAGGGGCAGAGAGAGAGGGAGACACAGCATGTGAAACAGGCTCCAGGCTCTGAGCTGTCAGCACAGAGCCCAATGCGGGACTGGAACCCATGAACTGTGAGATCATGACCTGAGCTGAAGTCGCTTACCCAGCTAAGCCACCCAGGTGTCCCCAAGAGAACTATACTCTTTAAAATAATCATATTTGTTCAGTGATTCTAAGGGAAATGTAGGACCCTCTATAGGAAATAATTATGTTGCTCTCTTCCAAAGCAGCCCAAATTTTCTGCCCCAAGTAGCAATTAATATTCTACTCTTTTAAAAAATATTTTTAAAATGTTTATTTGTTTAGTTTTGAGAGAGACAGAGAGAGAAGAATCCCAAGCAGGCTCCACGCTGTCAGCACAGGGCCTGATGCGGGGCTTGATCTTAGGTAACATGAGATCATGACCTGAGCTGAAATCAAGAGTCAGGCGCTTAACTGAGCCATCCAGGTGCCCTTATTCTACTTTCTTAACTAAAGCATTCTAATGGGAGATTTCACAGAGTCTGCTGCCATTTCAAAGCCACAGTCAAGTCTGGAAAATGTTATTAGGCATAAGCCCACCTTGTTTTCTGTTTCTATGCAAAGAAAAGAAGGAGGAGATAAGATCATTTGTTCTCAAGAGGCACCTGGGTGACTCAGTCAAGTGTCTGACTCTTGATTTTGGCTCAGGTCATGATCTCACTGTGATGGTTGAGCCCAGCATTTGGCTCTGTGCTGACAGTGTGTAGTCTGCTTGGGGTTCTCTCTCTCTCTCTCTCTCTCTCTCTCTCTCTTTCTCTCTCTCTCTCTCTCAAAATAAATAAGTAAACTTAAGAAACTCAGTTGTTCTGGAAAAGATCTGGAGGAATCAAGAAGAATAAAAAGGTGTAGGCTAATACTGAATGAAGGGCCATCTCACTGTAAATGATCAGAGGCAGCTGTTGGTCCTGGGAGACACTAGACGCTGGGGTTTCTTTCCCTCATTCTGGCTCAGGGAGCCTCTTGGTGGAAAATCCATCTTGGCCTGGGAGAGCCCCAGTCCCATGCAATTGGCATTTAGTTTCGAGCAAAGGCAACTCTGCCTCGCCCCTACTTGTTTGCTCCCCAGCGCCTCAATGAATCGTGTAGTGGAAAAAGCTAAGCAAATGTGAGAGGAACCCCAGGAAGGCTAGTGAGTCCCACTGGCCCTTTTCTAGCCCCTGGACACACCCCGTGGGCCTGAGCTGGACTCTGAGTCAAAACGGGAAGGAGCATGGGGAGGACACGGCCCTGGCTCAGACGCCACCCTGGAAACCCAGTCAGCACCAGGTACACATGATTCACACTAATCGTCTGTGATATTTTGGGATTTTTCAGACTGTGGAGCCAATTGTCACAAACAGTGCAAAGACCTCCTGGTTCTGGCCTGCAGGAGATTTGCCCGGGCACCCTCCTTGGGCAGCAGTCATGGGTCGCTGCCTGGAAGCCCCTCGTTGCCCCCAGGTAATGTCCTCTACTTTCTTACTTTTCTTTTCTACTTTCTTTCTTTCGGTTTGCCTTCCCACACCTAGACCTCCACTGGGTCCTGGATCTGAACCTGGTCGGAGTCATTATAAACACCAAGGCCAACTTCAGATGAGAGGCATGGCGATAGCCTTGACTCCCGCTTGCTTCTCTCTGCTTTCAGGTCTCACTTCTCTGCAACTCACCTGCAGCCAGCTTGGGTCTGCCTCTGGTCCGTCCCTCTAGGGCCTTGCCCGCCGGACTCCTGTTGTTTGCTGTGAAGCGATCAGATGTCACATAATCACGACAGTCTTCCCCCTTCCAGTGCAGGATGAAGTGTTCGAGTTCCCTGGCGTCACTGCAGGACACCGAGACCTGGACAGCAGAGCCATCACATTGGTCACAGGCTCTTCTCGCAAGATCTCTGTGAGGCTGCAGCGTGCCACCACCAGCCAGGCCACCCAGACCGAACCCGTATGGTCAGAAGCTGGCTGGGGGGACTCGGGGTCCCACACCTTCCCCAAAATGAAATCCAAGTTCCATGACAAAGCAGCAAAGGACAAAGGTTTTGCCAAGTGGGAAAACGAGAAGCCCAGGGTGCAGGCGGGTGTGGATGTTGTTGATCGGGCCACTGAGTTTGAGCCTGACCAGGATGAAGCAGATGCTGGTGAGACCAGACAGGATGGTGAGGTCAGTGCTGGGTCAAACCACAAATGAAATCACTAGAGGGAGGCTGAAAGGGGCCAACATGAGCATCATAGTGAGCCTGGGAGGCAGCCTATAGTTTTGGGGGCTGAATGGTTGGGCATTAACACATATCACTTTTTGTCTTTCTGTTGGCTAGGTACATGATCATGGGCATATTATTTCTTCTCTTTGCACCTGTTTCATCATGTATAAAATTAAACCAGATGGGGAGCACCTGGGTGGTGCAGTTGGTTAAGCATTTGACTCTTGATCTCGGTTCAGGTTATGATCTCATGGTTTGTGGGTTTGAGCCCCACATCAGACTCTGTGTTGATGGTGCAGGGCCTGCTTGGGATTCTGTCCCTCCTTCTCTCTTTCCCTCACACACTTGTGCTCTCTCTGTCTCTCTCTCCAGATAAATAAATAAACTTAAAACAAAATGGAACCAGATGGGTTCTAAAGCTAAGT